ATCTTCTCCGTTCCGATTGGATTTTTGTTCGTTTCTCGCTCTCTCTCTCTCTCTCTTTCGTTTTCTTTTCTGTCTCCCGAGTATGTTTAAAACGGAGGAAGATATCATAATTATTTGGGCATGGTGTCTGTTCGCTTCACATTGAAATCTTATTGAAGGCCGACCCGAGTTTATGGGGAATAGATTGGATCGGGGGCTTGTTCAATTTCTAACGGAATCATCTTGCAATTCGGGCCGAATCCGATAAGAATTCTCTGGATTTGGGATTTGCTCCGCTATTGTTGGTATGGTGCCAGAATCCTTGTCGGATCCGACCGGGTACCTCTGGATATGGTGTCTGCTCCGTTATTATTGAGATTACATGTAGAGTCGCGCTTCGATTAAGTGGGGTCCTTTGGATCTGATGATCCGTTCCTACTTGAATCTCCGCTGCTCCATTTGTGAACACAAGCTAGAGCCCCTTGCGAATGGAATCTGCATCATTCCAATTGGGACACCGTTTTTTTTTTGTTCCTTTTTGTTTGTTTCTCTCTCTCTCTCTCGTTCTCTGTTCTCTTGCTCGAACATGTGTGAAGTAGGAGGAAGAGGAAGAACACCGCCTGGATGTGATATCCACATCGTTTCGATTGAAGTTTTATTGGAAGCCGACCCGCACGCAATAGGAATACATTGGATCGGGGTCTGCCCCATCCCTAGTGTAACCATATTACAAGTCGAGTCAAACCCGAAAGGAGTTCCCCGGATTTTTGGATATGCTCTGCTGCTAGTGAGATGATATCAAAGTCCTTGTCGAATCCAAGAGTCCTCTTGATATGGGGTCTGCTCCGTTATTGATGAGATATTTCTTGAACCCTTACACATTGAAGTGGTAATTCTCTGGATGGGACGCCTGTTCCTTTCTTTTTGTAATCCAAGCATTGGCTGTGGGCTAAGGGCCTTTTGCATAGCATGCCCAGCTAGCCCGAGGTCCATTGTTTTCGGCGTATTCGAACCAACAGGTACGGCAAGAGGTCTGGCATGGTCTGGGCCACATTCCAGTCGTTGAGCTTTCACCCTCGTCACTCCCAAGGTCTGGTGGGGTTTCGTTACATCGGTCCGCCATCGCCTGGCGCCATCCTCATGATCACCAGCCAACACTCCATGCCATGACTGTGGGCTAAGGATGATGATGATGATGGTGGTGGTGATGATGACGATGATGTCTATGCTGATGCTGGTGATGATGAGGCCGATGATGATGATGATGACGATGATCATGATGACGATGCTGATGATGATGATGATGATGAAGACGATGACGCGGGCGAGGACGAGGGCACGGATATTGACGACGACGGCAACGAGGTTGAGGAGGGCGATATTGACAACGGCGACGGCGATGGTGACGCTGCTGCTGCTGATGATGCTGATGATGCGCTGCTGTTGCTGATGCTGTTGATGAAGATGATGATTGTTATGATGCGGGCGATGGCACTTATCATGACGATGATGATTGGGTTCGTGGAGGTGATGATGATGTGTTGATGATGATGGCGATGACAACGACGAGGATTAAGTTATAATGTTGATGTCGCTGTGGTTCTTGGTGTTGTTGTGGTTGTTGTTGTTGGTGTTGTTGTTATGGTTGTTGCTGTTGATGTTGCTGTTGTTGTTGTTGCTGTAGCTGTTGTGATTGACGAAACCATTCGCTGGCCCCCACCCCCCCGGGCGCAACGCAACGCAACGCAATGGACCCTCCACCCCCCCAGGCGCATCGCGACGCAACGCAACGCAACGGACGCAGGAGAGGAGGAGTGTGTGTAGCAGGAATGGGAGGGGGAGCAGCAGGAGGAGGAGGAGGAGGAGGATGAGGACGCAGCCGTTGTGGTGCTCCCGTGCGTCCCTGTCGTCGTCGTCATCGGCCTCTCTGTCTCCCTGTCTGTCTGTCTGCCGCCGCCGCCGACGACGACGACGAAGACCACGACGACGACAACGACGACAACAACCTTGCGGTTCTCTTGGCGGTCCTGAGGCGGTCTTGGGCAGGGGGGATGCGGAATGTGAGGAACATGATAACTGCTATTATTATTTCTAATACAACAGCAACAGCTTCAATAACAACAACTACTACTACTACTGTTATTACTACTACTACTACTATTACTTTTGTTATTACTACTGCCACTACTACGCGCACTACTACCTTTGCTAGAAGTACTACTGCTACCACTACTACACCGACGACTACTTTTACTATTTCTACTACTACTACTACTACCAATACCACTACTACTACTACAACTACTACTAATACTACTATTACTACTACTACTACTACTACTACTACTGCTACTACAGTTGCTTGCGCTGCTTCTTTCACTACTAGTAGCAATCATTTGTATTACTGCTACCAGTAATACTGATACTACTACGACGACTACTACTACTGCTACTACTACGTACCAGTAGTACTACAGCTACTACAACACCAGCGACGACGAGTACTACTACTACTGCGTAC